AGATATCAAAAAAGTACTCCAGAGTGTTGTTCAGCATGGGGGTGAGTAGAAAATGAAGGCTAATCATGTTTTGGGTGTACTATTCCTTTAATAATTAAGGTGTGCAGATGTGAGTAAACATCTGTAATCTAGGTGTTGTGAAGCTGGAGACTAAAGCTCCAACAGCATCCATTGAAGGTACCCTCTGATGAACTGCAGGCTGGGGTTGGTGGTTTGATGCCCACATCGTTCCCAATGTTCCAGCGTTTATCTGCCTGGTGGGAAAGTGGCCTACATACACAGGCTGGGACGTGATGCTGTCAGAAAGATTTAGTTTGACCTTTTACCTTAATGTCGTTTAACTTTGGCAGCAGAGGAACCATTTTCTATCATATCTGACCTGGATGAAGATGTAGGGCATTGGTCTATATTTTGTAATGTAAATGTGTGTGTGTGTGTGTGTGTGTGTGTGGTGGAGCATGAGTCTGAGATGTATTAATAATGGATGAGGGGGCGTGGTGACGGAGAGGAGGCGGTGACAGATGGAGAATCAGTGTGAGGAGAGAGTAACGGGCTGACAGACAGTGAGAGCACAGAGAGAGAGGAGAAGGAAGGCAGATAAAATGAAGGAAATGAAATAAAAGGATTCTTCTTCCTCTTCTGCATCGTTTATTTTGGAGCGTCTGCTGCTGTGCTGTGGATCCGCTCATTTCATTCCTGTATGCTGGAGGATTTATCAGAAGTGTCGACAGGAAGCTTTCCTCACAGAGGTACTGAAACGTGCGTCCTGTCTGTGGCATCAAAGGGGAAGATAATTGCTTTTCACTCTGTAGGGCACTTTCCTCTAAGGGATAAAAACTGCTGCTAAATAATCCTAATTATCACAGCATTCAGTTCAGTTCAGATTGTGAAGAATTCTTTGTCCTCGGCTCTGCTGGTTCATTGACCAGAGTCCCGTCAGCATCACAGGCAGTTCAACGCTCTCCGTTTTTCTGCCGGATAACCTTTGTCATCCTTCTTCTCTGCTGTTTCCATCTCATCAGTATTTTCCTGTTCCATGTGTCTGTCAGCCTTGTTCCTTACTTTTTATTTTTTACTGTTACTCACCGTCAGTGAGAGTAAGTGGGGTTTTCTCTTTGCTCTTGCTCTATCTTAGACTTCTTTTAGGACTGTAGTTCTGAAAGATGTTGAATGGAGATGAAATATAACAAACTGGCATCTGAGACACGGCTCAGTGTTTGGGAATGGATCTGATGCTGCCTAATAATCTGCTTTTATTGCTTTTTTAAGTTTCTTCTCAGTCTGAACCGTCTTTTTTACTTTTTTGTGTTACTGAACAGTTCTTTTTTACATCAGTTATAAAAAATGACTGAAAAGATCTTGAGACTGACTGAGCTGAGTGGACAAAAAAAATATCCCCATATAAATTTTTTTCTGTGCAACAATTTTCATAATTATATCTACTTTGAGATTTTTTTTTAAAGATTAACTTGAATGAATTGGTGCAGGGATCGGCCCATGGAGCGGTCCAGG